GGTGAGTGCTCCTGAGTTCAATCCCTCCCCCCCAAAAAAGAAATGAGTTTTTTCCCTAGGTAAACAAAATGCAATAATTTAAATATCAAATGTTTATTGTGATTAATTGATGGCACCAGAATAAAAGAAAATCATATCTATCAGCCCAGATAAGAAACAGATGAGCTTCCACTTTCAATCCATTTAATCACCAAAACCTGGTGATTTGGTCAAAGTAGGTAAGTTATAAGTTCATAGCCCTCTAATGAATGAATGCTCACACTGGACACCTAGTTAATATTTGGCACTGGTTTCTTGGATTTCCATACCCTCAGGGACCTAGATTTTCTTTAGGGATCTGAAATAGCCTAATGTTAATTTCAACTTCTAACAATGGTTAGGGTCTTACTATCAGGAAATGAGTTTTACCAAGCTCACCAGGAAAGTATATTCTACCTGAATTTGATTCTTGATCATTTGAGAGACTGCAGTACTGCCAAACATGACATATTACTAAGCCAACTGTCAAGAGTGACCCTGAATTCTAACKTCAGGCCTCTCAGCACAATGGTGGTTGGAAAGGTTGGTATTTGCCTGCTGAGGGCAAATCATGCAAGATGTTCTTGCTATTGTTTGTAGAATGATGCAGCAGGTAATTAGATATTTATGGACAAAATCTCCAAAGTTCCCATTCTTCTTTCAAGAACCAGCACCTCTCATCAGAAATGTTAAGATTGCATTTCTGCAGGAGATTTGAGAAAGCAAGAGAGAATACCTGTGTTAACCCAGGTAGATTTGAAGGCCCAGGCTAGAGGCAGCTGGGGAGATTTGGTCTTGTTTCTGGAAAATGGATGAATCCAGACCTTATAAGTTACTTTGATTCCTTTCGCAGACCAAGGAGAGTTTGGGAATTTTTTTTTTTTTTTTTTTTAACTGAGTAGACAACACCTTTTCTTTATTCTCTGGACATCCATTTACAAACTGCTGTGAATCAAGACATGTACTAGGTTCTGAGTGTAAAGAGATTAAGAAGACATCCTTCTTACCTTTAGAAGGAATACCGTAATTGTTAGCCATTCTMATGAGTGTAATAAGAGTGGCTTCCACAAAGCATTATGGAACTCTGGACTGAGCAACGCACTGTGCTCTCCAGCAGTGAGCCATSAAGGACTTCTTTGAAGAGTTAATACTTGTCAGATTTTAAAAGTGAATAGAAGTTTACTAAGCCGAGAATGGGAACAGGGAAGGCAAAGGAAGGAGGCACTTCAGGCAAAGAACATTGCATGACTGAAGGCACCCACKCCAAGAATGCAGGTGTACACAAAAATAGTGAGTTCCTATTCAAAGGTTCTTATTTGCACGATTGAGGATGATGGACAGAAGGGTATTAGAGGGTGGGAAATGAGATGAAAATGTGAACATGCAGGCAGAGCAAGAAGACCTTGGAGAACATGGAATTAACTGCCTGAATTCAAATTAGACATCAGTAACATATCAGTGTTGTTGTTTTTTTAATTAGAATAATTTTAGCTCCTCCGTGTAGATCAATCATTTCCTACAGTTTTCCAAAAGAAGTATTACACATTTTACTWCTTTATCAGGCTCGAAGGACATCTGAGTGTGAATTTCATAAGCAATGAAAAGTCACTGGAGAATTTGAGGCAGATTTGACAGACTCGTACTTTAGAATGATTATTCCAGCAATGGTGTCTATTACAACTGGGGAGGAGAGAGACAAAAGGCAGGCGGGCCAAGYAGATGTGGAGCAAGAACAGAGGTGAGGTACGATAAAGCTCTGAGTGAAGGCTGGAAATTTGCAACAGATGATTGTGGCTACCATAATAAAGTCTGCTGAGGACCAAAAATTTTTAGAAACGAATGCACCTTCCAACAAATTGGGAGGAGGAATGTGTACTAAATTCAAAATTAGGACAAGTTAAAATTCAGATATTGTAGTTKGACAGGATGAAAATTCACAAGTGGACAATTAAAAGGACACTTACACAAATAGAAGGAATRTGAGTTAAAGTATGGGGTGTGGGAAGACAGGCTAGTATTGCCAAAGATGTTGATGGAAAGAGGAGGGATCTGTAATAGCAGAACAGAGTTATGGTGAAAGAACCTGTTAGGAGACAATAGGAATGTAGCATTATGAATAGGACTCGAAGATATTGGGTGGTAAAAACCAAGGAGATCACATGTCTGTGACTTACCCAGGCCAGAAGGGAAGGTAGTAGCAGGACTTGCTCCAATTCTGACTCAGGTTTGCCCATTTTTTGAGCAATTCTAATTTCTAGTGATTGTTATATTCTTATTACATACCTTCCAGCAAAACACTAAGGTCGGAAGTTTTAAGCACTGTTGAGCATCTCTACTCCCAAAATAGACACATCAGAGTGGACTACAGCAAGAAATTTTTCTTTCAGGGAGCCAGCTACTCTGGCAGGTGGACCTGACTCTAAAGAGCTGGTTGAAGCAGTTCCACAGCCTCCCCTGCATGCTCATGTTGGAAGATCATGATGATTGTCTTTGTGAATAAATGGCCAGATTCTAGTGGATGTATGGAAAGACCACTATACCTCTAAAGAAACACTTTATTGTAGAAGTGGGGCAGGAAAGGCATGGGATTGTGAGGGTAAATGTTTAATAGTAATAAGCACCCAATTAGAGAAAAGATGGAGGAAGGCCTTAGCTGGAAATCTAGAACTTACTGGTAAGTTGCTGTGTTCTTCCCACTGGTATTATTTCTTCAGTCCCAAAGGGCCCAGCTGTATTCACATTTAAATCCCGTCACTCTTTTTAAATGGATGACAATTCCCCCAAAAGAAAGGGAATTAAAAGGAAGAGCATAGCTTAGAACAGAGGAAATGCTTACATTACACTTTGATTTTGAAGGGGATTATAAAGTTATGAAGGGGAAAAAGGATGTCTCCCACTTATTCCCTCAAGGTTTAGCTGAACACATTTACAGAGGGGACACTTGGGGATATAAAACAAGGTAGTAAGAAAACTTACTAGATCAAGGTAGAGGCAAAATGGCAGGTAGGGCTGGCTAGCACACCCAATGGCTGGCCAAGGACTTCAGCTTGATTTGCTACAGAGGCAGCCCTTCAGTTGTGGGAGAAAATTGTAGTTTTCTAATTACCAGAAAATCGTCCTACTATTTCCCTTGTAGTATCTTATCAATTAACTAAGGGAATATACAATCTCAGGCACTTCCTTTTCCACATGCATTCTTAGAGGTGATCATTTTTCTGCAAAAATGAGCAAAACATAAGGTCCAAAGGGATTGTACACATTTTTCTCAAAGTTTGGAGCCCATGGTGATTAAATTTGGCAAAATAAGAGGAAAAATTGCTTTAAAAACTAGGTCTTTTTGTCAATACAGAATCTGTAAAAATACTTTAAAATGGATCAAAAATCCTTTTCTATTGAACTATACTATTTTAGCTACTGATAGAAAGATTGTAGACACACATGAGATGGCTTTAAAAGTACAACAGAATTTGTGGGGTTTAATTTCCAATTGTTCTTGCCACCAACTCAAGAGTACACTTTTTTTTTTTTTTTTAAAGCAGGGGTCTTAAACTTACCACAAAGAGGGCATCTTGAAAATATGAAAATTACTGAACCAACCATTAAGAGAACTGGAGTATTAAATTAATGCTATTAATATTAATATTTAAAAGGTGAAGAATTGTTAGAAACCTTGTCTTAAAACTTTGTGCAGTAAACCACTCCTAAAAGTGAGCACTTCAAACCTATTTTCTGGAGTCAAACAGGTCAAGGTTTAGTGATCCCAAATAACAGAAGACAGTATTTGTTGATGAAATCCCCACATTGGATTAATGGGCTGCATAGCATGAGGAATTATCTGATTTGATTTTTAAAATTTCTGCATATTAAAGTCAATAACACTTTTATAGTCAAAAATTGCTGTTAATTCTTCCCTTAAAAATCCCTCACAGGAARTGCATTACTTGATGTACTTGTCATGTTTTTCCTTATCATATAAATAAAATATAGTTGTGCACCTCATTCTGATGGTGCAAATGTACATATGAGGATCTAATTTTCCAAYATGCTAATCATGTATCACAGTGGACTATATTTCTATTACTTGGACATTTTATTTTTTTGAGATCTTAGGGATCAAATCAAGGGTCTTGCACATGTAGGGCAAGTGCTTTCCCACCAAGCCATAGCCCCAGTGTATTTGATCATATTTTAGATGTGTATAAACCCGCTGAGAAAACCTGCATGGATTATAACGGGACTATTTTAATGCCAGGAAATGGAATTCATCTTTGGGACATCTTCCTCTTGTTATATTAAGGTCCTAAGCTATCAGAGCATGTATACAGGCATTTTTYCCCCCTAAATAAAACAGTCTCCATTACTTATATATGTGTATGTATGTTCAGGCACGCACGCACACATATGCGCACGCACACACACACACACATTCATTTTGGAAAACTATTAGACTATTTCTCCTACTTAAAAAACTGTACACTCTGAAAATTAGATAAAAAGCTGTCTGATAAATCTTATCTTAAAACAAAGTATGTCTAACCAACTTTACTTTCAAATATTGTACAAATTATTTTCTGGTTAAAAATATCTAGTGATCATTCAGATATTGGATAATGGGAGGCTATAGGCTGATTGACTTTAAAAAAATTTTTTTTTTTTAGTTGTCAATGGACCTTTATTTTATTTATTGATACATGGTGCTGATAATCGAACCCAGTGACTCACATATACTAGGTAAGTGCTCTGCCACTGAGCTACAACCTCAGCCCCTGATTGTCATTTTGAGGTGTGCTTTAACTGTCCTGTTTCTAAATGCCCTAACCTCCCAGTCACTGTCTTCTTTCTCTACTTAGTTTTCTAAAAAGGGCAAAACATCTTTGAAGACCTACTGTCAGTTTCATGACCTGGAACTTTTCTGTATAGGGAAAAAGCTAAAACCCAGAGAAAGTCAACAGAATAACAATCATTTCAAATCAGAGACAATGCATTTTTTTCTCATTTATTCAAATTCACTGCAGGAGTAAACACTAAAAGATTAAAAAACAAAACAAAAAATTCACACTGCAGTATGTACAGTTTCATGACATCATATGAAGAAATTAAATTTCTAATAAAAATGACAAATTATATTACTGAGCAGGTTGCATCAAAGCTGGCTGTGTAAACCCCAGATTCTTACCATAAACGGTAATGTGCCTGTATTCCAGTATTAACAAACACTGGCAGACACCTGGTATAATATTATGTTTCCAATGGGATTTAAAAATTCATGAAAGTAGTTGCGTGAATTCTTTATGTTGAAAAGTGGTTGACTCGATTAAAAAAAAAAATTTAAGACCCTTGGATTCAAAGCACATTCTTTCACAAAGCTTAAGCCACAGAAGTCATGTCCAGAAATGGAATACTGTCATGTTAGGATGAACATCTGATCTGACTTGTTAAGACATTTTGCCAAATGCACAGATGCACAGGGTCCCCCATGCACTTTTCATGCAGCAGGTAATCACAACTTAAATAAAAGGTTTATTCTATACATTTGTCCAGACTTGCAACTGTATACATACATGCACAATTTTTAAACCTGTCTGATTATATTTACACTTATACATGGAATATACAGGAACCAAAGAGATTAAAAGGCTTTTCTGTTGCATTAGAACAATACAAAATATGTATTTTTCATTAAGGAAATCATTATTTACATCACCTTTAAAAACCAATTTTAACATCTTCATGTAACAAGTCAATATATATATATACATATTACATATATATATATATATAAAATATATACTCTCACCAGTTTACTCTTCTGTAAGATGCAGTAGAGAATAAACAGGTAATGCTACCTTACTGATGTCAACGGGAGCTGTAGTACCCTTTCACAAATGACTTTATTAGGAAGAAACTGCCTCGATATCTAAAATAGTCCTTGAAAATGTGTATATGTGCATCCTTGTATCTATATATGCATAAATAAATTGAATTTATGGATGTATGCCCTTTCTTACTGCTCTTCTTTAAAATCATTCTAAACTCAAATTGGGGGACATTCTCTAGTAAATCAGAACAGTGTTCTTTGTGGTCATATTTATTTCTGTATTACATATTCTCATTCCTTTGTTAACAACAATAGAAACAACCAACCCATCAACCAACCAACCAACCAAACAAACAAACAAACAACAACAACAACAACAAAAAAAACAGCAATGCTGGCTCTGGATGCTCTTGTCCCTGACCTAAACGTCACTCCCTTGTAAAAAAGTCCATTCTCCCTAACTAAGAGAGAATACTAAYATTTTTTTCTGACATACACCTAATGTTCCAGACCTTTCACAATGCCTGAGAAAAATGACTTGCTGAAAAGCTTGTTTCTAAGTGTAGACAATGAGATTGTCACAGAACGGATACAGAATAGACTAACTATATTCACTGGCCAGTGGAATCTTCATGTCAGAATAAGCAGATGCCTTCATCTCCTTGTGATGCAGTATATTTGCTCCTACTACTGCATAATATATCCAGTAACTATTTACAAATCATTTTGAGAAAAAAATAATCATTTTAGCATTTTAGAACATATTAGGAAATAACAACCTTTTTAATACAAAAATTTTAGAAACAATTTCAAGTAGAACAAGTTCAAATATATTTCCTTCTAATTAATAGTTTTTATACAGTAATTTTTGATGGGTTAGTTGCTAACCTGGCTCACAACTGAAAACAAAAAAATATTACCTGGTGAATGAACTGTGGATTATGAAAACTGAACTTAAAAAAAAAATAAGACTTGTTTTAAGACTAACATCCCATTGGCTCAATTACATATTAAGTCCTTCCAAAACCCTTTGGATATCTGCTTTTAATTACTATTTATAACAAATAAATCCAATGGAGTTATTGTGTACATTTTCATGGATATGTGCCTTTTGTACTTTTTTGCTAATAAGTCAATCTGAGTTTAGTTCCTTTCTTGGGTTTGAACTAAATGTTTTAATCTTTGTCAGCACTGTTCTTAGGACAATGGTTTTAATAGAAGATAAGGATGTATTCAGGAGAAGTTTTCAAATCATCCTGGAATCACCTGAGTTTGGTAAGTGGCCCTGTTATTCCATCCCTAAGGCTAATTAAGTAGATGTTACTCATTAGAACACATAAATAATAGATTTTCCTGAGATGTTGAGCCAGATATGAAAGTTGTCCCCTCCACCCAATTTTTGTGTCATAAAAAGTATTCTGAACCCGATTTCCAAAGACATAACGGCAATATAGGAACTACAATATTGCAAATTTTGAGTTGACGTATGACTACTGGGGAAAATATAGGCATCAGATAGTTTCTTTACAGACTCATGTTCTGAGAAAAGTCATCAGCAATGGTTCTCAAACATCTAGGGAGCATGTTAAGATGCAGATGGAAGATCCCAAGTCCACTCAGCAGAGATCCTTGTTTTGTAGGTCCAAGATGCTGCCTATGGATCTGCATTTTAAAACAAGTGCTCTAGATGATTCTAATGCAGGTGGTCTGAGTCCAGCTTTAAGAAATCCTGGTCATAAGACTCATAGGTACCACAGAAATGGTGAGAATCAACTTTTACAAGAGATGGCGAAAATTGTCCAAAGAAAAGCCATTTTTTGCTTCTGTTAAAAAAAATTTTTAAATAGTCAACTATTCAGGAAACCACCTGAAGATAAATGTTAACTTTMCTAATTCTGTAAAAGGAGTATTTATTTAGTAAAGTAGTTAAAATACAAAAAATGGAAATCTGCCTTTTTTTTTTTAAAGGATCTATCAAACTTCCCTCAATTTTAATCAATTTTTACTAAATAGTACAAGGTTTAAAGAAATGTATATTGAAAAGGTCTGGGTGGGGGCAGACACAAAACCCTTTCTAAGTGTTTAAAAATAAATATGTTTTTTTTTAGCAAAAAGTGAAAAATGTAAGCATATTTTTTCTGACTTACTTTTGAATTGGATATGAGATGTGAATCATCACTATTTTTTTATTTAATAATTACCCTTTAAAGAGTTTGAACTTTAAAAACATGTGTTATGCAAGCTGACTTCTGAAATGCAAAATAAAGTACCCTAATGAAGGCAAAAGGCAGCAAAATGCATTAATCCACTATGGATGGAATTTTACATTTTAATGTATGCCTCTTATTTATGATTATAAAAGAATTTCATTCATAGGCTACTCACAGTTGTTATCTGGTGCATACAGAAGTGTTAAACAACCAGTTTGCTAGTTCAATAGCTTCCTCATGACATCTAATGTTAAGCAAAAATTAGTATGCATATTTAAACATCACCAGTAACCAATACTTTTCAAAATGAAAAAAGTTTCAATTATACCATGCTTTTCTCAAATCATGCTCTTATTTATACAGATCTCAAGTTCATACTAAGTAGTTTTAAAAAGATCCAAAGCTTGATGGCAGATTCATTTTATTCTGATTCCTTTTTTATTGTTACCACATTTCCCAGAAGTCCATACACCTCTCCATTTGCACTGTGTGGGTGAGAAGTATTATTTCCCATATGGCTATTGTAAGGGCTTCTTAAATTAAAGAAAGAAGCTTTAGTTTCTGCAGCAGGAAGTAACTCTTCTTTGACTGTAACCTGTGAGACACTTTCGGCAGACGAAGGTTCCCTCCAAATGTCCTTGTCCTGTGTTTCTCGGCTGGTAACAGAATTGCCTCCTTTCTGGAGCATGTAATACAGTATTGGGTTAGTTTTGGTCAGTCTTGGAGAGTCTTTTTCATACTCATTCTTATCCGCATCTGTGATAACCCACTTAATGGGTCCCTTCTCACTGGGCATGGAACACCCATTCAAAAGTCCAGATTCTRGTCTAGACCCCACACAGCCCAAGTGCTCAGGGAAAGGAGGGCTCACAGGAGATTTTACCATTCCTGGATATGAAAATGTCCTGTTGTCCATGCAACTGTTGGGCTGAGAGGAACTGTACATCAGTCCATTTAAAGAAGAAAGGCTAAATTCAGGTTTGCTATTGGTCACATTGTTTTTGTGTCCTTTCTTTTTACTGTCAACAACAGAGTTACTCCTGTGTGGGGACAAGTCTCGAACACAGTTTTCTGAGAGAAGCAGCTGTTTCAGAACATTGAAGCTTTTACTCTCTCTGGCCCAACTCCTATGTTCACTTTCGTTGGCTGAACCATGACCAGCAGGATATTTAAATTCAAGATCATTTCTGCTAAATTTCAGCTCCTCCTGGTTAAGCAAGGATCCATAAAGTACTTCTGGAGCACTGTGATTATTTGCAGCATCAACAATGTTATTTTTCATCTTTTTAAATGGACTTTCTAATGGCTCAGTATAAAGCTTCCTTTTCTTAGGGACCATGCAAAGATTCTTTGATTCTAGTGGTGTCAGTTCACTATTTCTGTGACTCTTGTCTAGATCATCTGCCAGATAACTCTCTTGATTCTGTCTCAGCAATCGGCTTAACAGACCATTCTTTGAGAAAGAAAAATCCTGAGGTGAAACAGGCTCTGATTTAAGGTCCTCAGACACTGGTAAGGCAGCTGCGCTTCTCTGCGTGGTGGGATTCATACCTAAGAATGGGCTGCTCTTCGCATCATGGCTCAAGTGCACATTTGTATTATGAATATGTAAGTCATCACAAGGCTCAGATTTTATTTTCACCATCAATATCTGTTCACTTAAAGCTCTCTCTGTATGTTCCTGAGTACTTTCATCTCTTACAGGAATTTTTTCTTTCTTTTCACTCTTACCTTTGTTGGGATTTCCCAGAAGCAACTGGAGAACAGTACGTCTTTCTAGCAGATTTTCTATTTCAGAACCAGAAAGTCCTGGTTCCGAAACTGCTGGTTGATTACTGAATGCTATATTTTCCTCAATTGTATTTGTTTTATTTGACAGCAAAGGGCTATTTAATCTATCAATTATACCCACAGGTTTATCTGTGTTTACACTTAACAACTGTTTGCTGGGTCTCTGMTCTTCGGCTGCCATGGAAGACTGCATTCCACACTGTGCCAAATTCTGTAATAGTTTACTGGCACTAAAAGCTGCAGAATTTTGCGCACCTTCATTTTGAGCTGGTTTCTCTCCTTGTGATTCTTTGCTTTTTGTAAGGTCCATCAAGTGGTTAGATGTAGTATTTGCCATCTTTTCAGACTGAGTACTGCAGGCATATGGTGGAGAATTCCATTTGATGACCAGAGAGTGTTGAGAAAGATTGATGGGAGACTCTGCTTTGGCCGATGTAAGTAACGGTGGAGTACTCACTGGAGTAGTCCTGTTTGTACTGGGGCTTTCTATTACAGAAGTCCTTGTATAATTCTGAGTATTGAACTTTGTCACATCACTGTGTACTCCCTGAGGGCTGGTGATTTTTTCTACATTTTCTTCATTTTTATGGCCAAGTAGCAATTGAAGAAGTGTTACTTTCTGGTGTGAATTTAGCTTAGAATTATTTGAGGTATCATGATCCTCTTTGACGTCTACATCGGGGACTTTCGGATCCCAAGTGTTTAGCAAGGACTGAGTTAAATTATCAAGAGAAACAGGCTGGTCAGATTCTGGTTTTTCAATGCGGTGTTTGCAAGACAAGTCTATGGGAACACAGTTGGAATAAGAACTTTCATCACCGCTGCTGTCATCTGTAAAACTAGGATTGTTGTCTGAATACTCATCAATAGTTGTGGGAGTACTCCCATCCTCAAAAATGCTTCCCCTCTCATTCTGATTATGTCCATTCATTGGCTTAGGTATGGTCTGGCTTTTAAGAAGATGTAAAAGCAAACTATTATTAGCAGCTTGTTTTATGTTGTTTCTTTCCAGTGAGTTCTTATAGCTTGRAGTTTTGGGAGAAGAAGGAACAACACCAATTGGGTTTTGAAATGTTGTAGCGTTACTTTTGCTAGCCACTAATTTGCTTGATGTTCGTGCCTGACCATTGAGATGGCTTGACATTCCTTTTGAGATCTGGAAACTGCCTACATCCTTCTGGCCATTCTCTTGTAATCTGGCCATAGCAGCAAGTCTTTCGCTTGCTGCTTGATTTGCATTTTGTGTTTTTAAAGCATGTTCCCGAGAATACTGCTGCAGGTGGGCTTCACTGGAGAGGAGTAATGCTAATTGGCTGCAGGCAACGCTAGGTTTAGGTGAGGTGGCAGGACTAGCTCTTTTTTCCACCATGCTTGCAACAGCCTGTAATCTTGCAGCACATGACAAGGGCTCACCCACGACCTTTGTTCCACTCTGTCCAATATGATGAGGCGACTCTACAAACCTGTCTCTGATGAGGTTTTTAGTTACATCAGGAAGATTGGTATCTGGCTTTTGATCTTTAGCTTTACTTTTTTTCAATAAAGTTTTTAAGTGACTTGATGCAACACCATAGCACCTTAAATCCTTCTCTACTTTTAAAGAATCATGACTGAGGGCATATCCTTGCTCCTTGAGGCTCTGCCTAATTTGTTGTGACAGGGCAACAGTCTGCAGCCTCGAGCTGAATGACTGAAGCAAAGAGGCCAGTAATGTGCTGTCCTGTTTGCCTTTAGGCACATTGTCAACCATGCCAGCTAGCAAAGCTTCCTTCTTTACGTTTAAATTTACGATGGAATCAGACAGCCTCTTCCGCTTTGCTGCATTCCAGTCCTCAGAAGACTGCAACAGTCTGGCTTTTTTGAGATGCAGCATGCCAGATCCCTGGTATGTGTGTGTATTGACAACTGGACCATTACTTTGACAGGTGGGAAATGCACTGCCAGAAATGTTAAAGTTCTGATCTTCTTCATTGTGCCCAGCAGACTTTTTGTCAACGGCAGTACCTGATCCCCCTGCAGCCTGATGCATTAGTAATCCTTCTAGGTAAGTTAAAACAATAGAATCCTGATGCACATCAGAGCCAAGCTCTTCTCCATGAGTCATGTTCAATAGAAGTGTTCACAAGGGCTTGGTTTCTATTTACTTTAAAGGATGATTTTCTGTAGGTGAGTGAGATTCAACTTTAATAAGTGAGTATCAGTTTATCACCTTCCATAGCAATCAGGTAGAGAGGTACTGTTACATTCTGACCAAGATTTCTTCTGGCAATGACAAGATAAAAGGCAGGTAAATTCTAATGCAGTCTCTCCAGAGTTGATCAACTTCTAAGAAGCAGAATTCCTCAATACACAGGTCTGTAGTAGCAAGCAGGCAGACAATTCTTAGTGAATATATTGCTTTTCCATCTTCATCTTTTGTTCTTCATTAAATGCAAATATCAGTAGTCTAAAAAAATAAAAATAAAAATCATTAAGTAGGGGCAAAGATAGGGTCATGCTATAATACCTATAAGAAAAGAATATAGCATTTACAAGTTTATATGTGCACAGATACATATATAATATGAACATATATGCATTATAGTTGCTTCTTTAGTAATTAATGCTTCAGTGTTTTATAACTGTCTTCTAAAGTCTACCAAGCTTTTGATTTTTCATACGCACCTTTCTGCAAAGTAACATGAATGCTAAGTTTCCTTTACAATTTTATACCTCCATTAGGGAGCAAGAATTAGTTTCCTTACATTACTATGCACTTAGGAAGAAACAAAAGCAATTGTGCTGAAAAAGAAAGAGATGTATGTGATATGGACTCATCTGATACGTCTGATGAGTGGCTGAGGCCAACAGAACACATTCACTTCTGACATTATTCCCCAAACACACCAGACAATGAATAACTAATTTTTAGAATTTTTCAAAAAAAGAAAAAAAGAAGGAAGCATTAAGAAGTTGAAGATTATTTTGTGGGCCTGTGCACTTATGACAGTCTTAATCATATACATGAACACTGTAATATAATCACAAGTTTAAATACTTACAGTATTTACCATGACTTTAATATWAAAGAGAGTGATTCTTAAGAAGATCATTCAGACATAACCAGTGAATGTCTGGGTCCAACAGATATTTTATTAATACTTAAGTCAATGTACAAATAATTTACATAATTATTTATACACAACCCCATAATTTTGTTCCAATTTTTAATAACAAAAAGCGTCTAGCTTTTCTGTTTCTTATTTTTTATACTTTTGAAATTCAAAATACATTACTTTTGAAAATGAGATCATAGTTTACATTGAAGAGAGGACAGACWTCTTTGTTCTGTAATTGCCAAATATTTTTCACTTTTAGATTTATGAACATCAATTACAGTGATAGATCCAAGAACTATTTTGTTTCCATATCACCTCTCTCTTTACAATCTTCTTTACACCTGCTGTCAGTACWTGTACTTATGAACAGATTCACTTAAATTTGGGTATTCAACATAAAGGATGAAATAATAATTTCATACATCATTCMAGTTAAAAAGGGCAAGCAGGGTTGGGCATGGTGGCACACATCTATAATCCCAGCAACTGGGAAGTCTGAGGCAGGAGGATCATGAGTTCAAAGCCAGCCACAGGAACTTAGCAAGGCCCTAAGCAACTTAGTGAGACCCTATTCCTAAATAAAGTATAAAAAGGGCTGGGGATGTAGCTCAGTGGTTAAGTACCCCTGGGTTCAAAACCAAAACAAAACAAAACAAAAAACCCCAAAAACAAACAAACAAAAACCCCTATACTGTTCTCTCACTAATTCTTGAATTGGAGAAAATCCATTTAGAATACTGTCATATGAAGATAACACRTAGCTATGCTGCTTATACAAGTCAATGGCAGTGTCATCATTCATGTCTACAGTGCTATTAGTCTCTTTGCATTCACCTTCTGTTTGAAACTGCTCCCCATATCAAGTTTCTTCTCTAACATTCTGGACAGAAAATGAAAATTTGTGAATACTCAACTGTACTTAATAAAAACAAAATTCAGACTTCCTCCATATTATTTTTACAYTCTTGAAAGTTGATGCAGCATTGTAAAATATGCAAAAAGAACAGTGAAGATGGCATCATAGTGAGGACTTATTTCACTATTATGTCATCTTTGTAGACACTTCAATTACTTTTGTCTGTTTTAGGGCACTTGGAGATAAGTGATGGATTGATTCCCAAAAAAGTAAAATGGCTTAAAGAGATAAGAAAAATAAGACCACTAAAATTCCATAAAGTTCCTCCAAATTATAAAATGTTCTGACATATATGGTAATAACAAGATACAATGTTTTATTCTATTAAAAACACATTCACTACAATTTTTCAAGAGAAAATAAGTCACATAATATGATCTTTCCTACCAGTTAGAAATGTTCTCTTTAAAAATTCTTAAAATYTCAAGGTCCAAAGAAACCCTGATAATTCATCTCTAAATACTTAACAATATGAAAATTATAAACTAAATCCTTTTATTAGTTTTAAATTATAAGCATAAAAATCTTTTAAATTTGATAAAACTGATRTTTTACTGATTTATTAGCATGAAGCATGTTTGGTGAGACATTTATTAAAGAAACCAAATAATAAAAGAATTCTATGGAATCTTGACCATATATAGACAGATTCTAGGAAAATCTAAGTTCAACACACAGATTAGTTTAAAGAAATTAAATCTTAAATATCCTGTAATCGGCTTGAATTACAAGAGTGTATTTTTCACAGGGGTGCTCTGTATGTCAGGGGGTTTGTACTTGAACCATTCACTGACTAACCTACATCCCAAGTCCTTTTTATGTTTTTTGAGACAAGATATTATAAATTGCCTATCTTGCTTTGGACTTGTGATACTTCTTTCTTAGCCTCTGGAGTGGCTGGGATTATAAGAATGCCAGCCACCCCACCCAGCTGCACTTAAAAATATGAAAAATATGCACTTGAAAAGTATGAAATTAGGTTGCAGTGTAAAAATTTTAAAAAACCCATAAATAATCTGCATATCAATAGTTTGTTGCCCTACGAGTCTTTAAACTAGTTCAACTATTTCCTATTTGGAAGTATTTTATTAAGGAATGAGATTWTACTTAGATAAATGAAAGGTGCAYTTATTAGAATTACTGTATGTGGGATTGGTTTTGGTTGAGAATAGGTAAATAATAACAAAGGTTTTTCTCTAGTTGCTTTTGGATTCAATCTYACCTGCAATCAAATTCTCCCTTAAAAACACATTTAAATGATGTCACTTGGAATGTCTGAGGAATATCTCACGACTTCCAATTGTTTCCATGAAATCTTCCCCAATTTTTTTTCTGCATTATCAGGTAATATCTCTTTGCATAATAAGTTTAAAGGGATTTCAGCAATGCAGCTTCRGGAGCATTTGGATTCTTAGTTTTAAAATAGTAAAAAATCAGAAGGGTCACTTAATTGCGACACTCAATAATAACTCCTATTGGGCAATATTACATATTATATGTGTGTGTGTGCGGGGGGGTAGGACTGGCATTAAACCTAGTACCCACCTATCACTGTGGACCATTTCATGGATGGCTTTAATRTAATGCTTTTATATATAAGAAAGACACTGAGAGATTTCACTTAATATTAGTAGGAAAATATTAAAGTATAAAGAAGATTCCAAAGTCCTACCTATTGAACTTTTTATTTAAATAAATAATAGASATCCAGGTAAAAACTTTAGAGAATGCTTAGCGTTCTCTAGTGTYGATGTTTCAAAATCTGAACAGGAAACACAAACTCAAGATTAATTGAACAGCAGGAGAGAACACCAAACATTTTACCCAAATGGAAGAATGAGCTTTCCAAACCAAACGACACGAAAAATTAGAATACCTAAAAAAACAATACTTCAATTTCTTAGAAGAAAGRAAAAGTGACATTTTAGATAAAGACTCTGAAGCTTCTTTAAAAAGTGAAGACTGCCAGGAGCAGTGGCTCACGCCTGTAATCCCCACAGGRGGCTGAGGCAGGATTGTGAGTTCAAGGTYAGCCTTAGCAAAAAGCAAGGTGCTAAACAACTAAAGTGAGACCCTGTCTCTAGATACAAAAAACAGGGCTGGGGATGTGGCTCTGTGGTCAAGTGCCCCTGAGTTCAATCCTTGTTTACCCCCACCCCCCAAAAGTGAAGACTACAGTGAATTCCTTATTCAACAGACTCACAACAGATGAGCAAAAGAATAAGACTGAAATTTCATTTATTAGAATATATTTCTAATTTCTTGAAAAAATAAATCAAAATTAGTATGTCTTTTGATAGAGTTTGAATTATTCCAATGCATTAACTATCTTTGCAGTATTACCTTCATCAAAAGTAAAATGTGTGGTTTTACAGTTTAATGGGTACCACAAAAATGAATCTATTTAAAAACCTTCTGCTCAGGCTGGGGTTGTGGCTCAGTGGCCGGGCCTTTGCCTAGCGTGTTCAAGGCCCTGGGTTCCAGCCTCAGCACCATATAAAAATAACTAAATAAATAAAATAAAGGTATTGTGGCCAACTAACTAATATTCTGCTCAGTTTAGGGTCTCAATATGAAATTAGACTTTGAAAGTTTCTTGCCCTCTCCCAGGGGCTCTCATTTTAGGTATGTAAATACTCTGCAGAGAAGGTAACACGGAAACCACTGACTGATGCTGCAACAGGTAAGGGAGCCACACAATTGCTCTCCATCCCAACCTGAGGGACTTACATAATTTTGCCCTGGGGAAAATATGCTTCTAAATTCCAAGTCCATCAGCTTGAACTTGCTTATCAGCTGCTACCACAGGAGTAACACAGTGCCACTCACAACCTAGTAAAAAAGACAAGGAGACACTACTGCTTGACTAAGTGTTCAAAAAAGGGACAAAAACACATAAGGATCTCTTCAACTCCAAAATTTTATTCCCATGATTCCAATTTGGCAAACTGTAGTTATAAAAATGACAAGCATTTTAACCAGAAAGATGATATACTGTCAGAGTTGTGGAAAGAACCCTCGTCAATCTGTTTTGTTGTGTTCTTAGTGAATTCTAGAGGAAGCAACTGGTTTTGTAATAGCCATAGACCTTACCTGCYCAATCCTCCAAAAGTTACTTATCATCACTATTTTTTTAAAGGAGGTCATAAAATTTTAAGTACATGTTTATTTAAAAGCTAAATATGTACTTAAAGTCAAACTGGTACTTTTGCTTACTTCATAAGGACTGTATACTGAATAAAATACAAGGAAATAGTAAAGAATTAGGATCCTTAAGGACATAGATAAATGCCAAAGAAAGATGGAATAATTGTCCTGGTGAAAGAAACAAATATCCTTATAGTTGATATAGCAAAATAAAAGTGGAGAGGGCTTCTTTGTTCTGAATTAGTCTCAAAAGGCTTATGTACATACAACAAATTMAAAAAATATACTATTTGCTTTATTCTGCCTTTATAGTTTCTTTAAAAGAATTAAATTAATTTTAACTATATTTTTTTAAATCCAGGAAAAAACTAATTTTTACAGAGAAATGAGATTCCTCATTAGCATTAATGTCTATTCATTGTTTTCTTTTCTTAAACAATAGTTTCTCTTTCTATGAAGTTTCAAAATTATAGTATTTTCTAGTCTCTATTAAAATAAAAAATATAATGGAAAATGGTTCTTTCTTCTATTGGAATTGTTTTGAGTGTTTATATAGTATATACATACAGGGACATCCTTTGAATGGTGARTAAATCCAATTAACCTCAACTATGGTTTCCCTATCCCTAAAATAGATTTTGACATACAGACAGAAGCCCAAGGTCAAGGTCACAGATCATCAAGAAAGATTACCAGCAGACTGATGTAACAGCTGGCATTTGATCAAAGCTCCTAGGGGGTTTTAGTACACTTAGCAGACACTCCTCATTTACTCATAGGGTACACTCTGTTTTTAAAAATACTCCACCCACCTTAAACATTTTCATTGCTTTTTATTATAATGTGAGTTCTGCTAGTTCGGAATCATAGACAAAGAAGAGACCTGTGTGTTTGTTAGAATTTTGAATTTTTATGTGTGTCTATGTATGTATGTATGCATGCTATGCATATGTGCATGCTATCCATATCTGCATATTTGTAATAAATACTCTTGGCCATGGTGTAATTTTGAAATTAATGTAAGTTATAGATCTGTAGAGGATATAGACCATACTCTCTCACATCTTCAAGCCTTTGCTCCAGTTGAGGTTGAAAGTAATAGTATGTTACAACTTCTTCCTAAACATACAGATTTAACTACAAAGTCCTGGTTCAACCAGAAAAGTTTTATGCTGTACCATAGTCTTCCATGACAATTTCCAAACCATACACATWGGGGAAGAAACTTCAGTTATCATCAAGGGATCAAGAACAATAAGTGATTTTAACTGAATATATTATTGAAGAATTCAATTAGCTAACAAAACCATGCCTTTGTTGCTGTGTTCAAACAAGATAATGAATTTATTTTAAGTTGCACTRTATGATAAATGTTCTTGCTGAAGCATTCTGATCAAGAAATCATTTCCTTTTTTTCTTTTCTTCTTCTTATGATTCTGGGGATAGGATCCAGTGTCTCACACATTGCAGGCAGATGCTCTATTACTGAGCTGCATCCCCTGATATAAAGAAACTATTTAAGGATTAATAATACTGTTGGGGCAAATTTATACTATAAAAGCTTTCCTTGTTAAACAACTATCACCTGCTATACTTTACGTAATTTGCAAATTACCTATGACACATGGACATGTAAATGTTCTCAAAATAAAAAGGAAAATATCAAATCAAATTACCAAATTAAATATCATGAGAAAGAAACTTCCTTTACTATGCAGAAGTAGACTGTGGGTATACTGAAATTACGGAAAMTGGATGATAATCTGTACATTAAACTTTGATCAGAAACTCCACTGACATTCTTTTTGAAAACAAACAGAATTCTTTATAAAATACACTATATTAAAGTTTTTTTTAGAGGAATCACTTATCAATTGACAAAAAACATTGTTTACTTGCTTCTATCTGGGTGAAAATGCTGATTTGCTATGAATGGACCATGTACTTTGATTTTCCAGAAAYGATAAACATTATGTGACATCACTCTTGCCAGTACTGGCTCAGAACAGATTTTTAGATCAAAACTTTCAGCAGGATGTGGAAGATAAGTGTCTCTACAGACATAATCCATGGACAAATGGGCACAGCAACACTATCTGTAAAGGGAAAAAGTCAATAAAAATGACAAGGTCCCACTACAGATAATTAATAAACAAAACCAAATAATCTTATACACACAAATTCTGTATCTTTTACATATTAGCAGATAACATATGCTCTTCAATTAGGAAGATAAAGCTACTGGTATACCATCACTGGGCCATTACTTTAAATGGTTTCACATATATTTAAGAAATTTTCATGCACACTTTCCCCTGACCTCTCTTTTGCTCACCTGTGTATATAACCAAGTGTTTCAAGTAATAAACTCAGTTTAACTGAAGAAGTTACTGTTAATCAGAGATCCAGCTTTGTTGTGTCCAGGTCTGACGTGTTCACTCCCTACAGCAGTGATGGCTTGCCACAGGTCTTGCCATGGCACCCACAACACAGAGATACAGACRAGGTAGTTGGGAGCTTAAGAGGAGGACTCCAGTGAACTGGAGGAGAAACAGGAATAGCAGAAGTCTAAGTAACATAGGTCAGGGCTTTTCTGACTTCACTGGACCAAAAATACTTCAGAACAACATTTTCTTGAACACTTAAAATCATCAAAAACAAATACTTAGCATCTATTATTCATATAATTTCATAAAGTTAAATCATTTTAATACAAAAGAACTAAATACTTTAGCTTTAAAGAAATCTCGCATCGCTTTTCCAGGTTGGTTAGTTTTTTGAGATAGAATGATGGTGTGTGCAAGTACACATATACACTATACTGATTAATACACTGCTTAGTAGTTTAACTCAATATCAATTATTTAAATCCTTGTATCAATTTCTTTCTGTTTATACTTTGTTTTGCCGTTTGCTCTTTACTGTATTTTCAATTATAGCGTTTATATAAAATGARTATCTAGATTTATATCTAGATATTTTAATGGTATAAGGATGTAAGAAAGAAACAAGAGAGAAACAGGGTAATACAGATGAAGAAGTAGACTCATTTACTTACTGGCCTTCCTCCCATTTGTCCATCTAATTCCTATCATTATCATCATTTGATGAAATATATCAGAACAAAAAATGCTTAGAGAATGATTTAGTATATCATGATTTGATATATTAAATCCCATTCACTTACAATCAAGCTAAGATACATCCTTTTTGGTTTTTTTTTTTTATTGGTTGTTCAAGACACTACAAAGCTCATGATATATCAACTTTCATACATTTGACTCAATTGGGTTATGAACTCCCATTTTTATCCCAAATACAAATTGCAGAATCACATCRGTTACACACTCACATTTTTRCATAATGGCATATTAGTRACTGTTGTATTCTCCTACCTTTCCTATCCCCTACTATCCCCCCTCCCCTCCCATCATCCCTCTCTACCTCATCTGCTGTTGTTCAATTATTGTTGTTGTTTTTTGGTACCGGGGATTGAACTCAGGGTCACTCAACCACTGAGCCACATCCTTAGCCCTATTCTGTATTTTATTTTAGAGATASGGTCTCACTGAGTTGCTCAGCGTCTTCACCTTTGCTGAGGCTGGCTTTGAACTCACGCTTCTCTGGCCTCAGCCTCCTGAGCTGCTGGGTCTTTTTCATTTCTTAAGTCTTGGCTGAGGACACATCCCCTCTTCAGGAAGCCTTCCCCAAACTATAGACTAGGGGTAGATTGTCTGTGCCTCTATAGCATTCAGGGAATCTTTCAATCATTCCACTTACAAAAGTGCATTTTGGTCTTTGTCTGCCTACCTCCTGACTACAGAGTAAACTCCTTATGGTCAAGAAATAAGTCTTTGTCATCTTTACAGCCCAGGAATGTTCTTCCCAGAAGAACATTCAGGAATTCAACCTCTTGGAGCCTTAGTTTACAAAAGAGGTGTGGAGGGGAGGGGTTGTGATCCTAAGGTAGCTCAAGATTGTCTGTGTGTGTGGTATTGGGGATGGAACCCCGGGTTTTACACATGACAGGCAAGTGCTCTACCACTGAGCCCCTTTATTTTAAGACAGGGTCTCACTAAGCTGCCCAGGCTGGCCTCAAACCTGTGATCCTCTTGCCTCAGGGTGCAGCTCAGGTTATAGATATGTGCCACCACGTCTGACTTAACCTCTGATATGATGTTATTTCTAATGTTTGGCTTTTAAACTTAAGATATGTTTTTCTCCTAACTAAAAACTAACAAAAATGTACAAAATTAAAGAGTAATAAAGTTTCTTTTTTAATCTACAGGGAGTTCTGTGGATTTAGAAAACATGAGTGACTAACATTCTGGTAGAAAAACACAAGATTTATATATCTTAAAAATACATATTTTTAAAAGATTTTCTGTATTTTAAAAATGCATATTTTAAAGGATTTTATATGTTTATGTAAGAGACATTTATTTTAACATTTRTTTATAAAGGATCAATCATATTCATTTAGTTCCTTTAATTGCTGTTTTCCCAGTCAAGGTTAGTGAGATCTAGTATACACAGAGAAGGTATCAAGATGAGGAGAGGGGATGGGGGGATAGAAAGGATACTAGAATGACACAGACATTTATATCCTATCTGATTCAAATGTATGATATGTCACGGTCATTGTACTGTCATGTGTAACTAATTAAAACAAATAAAAAAAATTTTAAAAAATGAGAATGTATATTTCAAAATACTGTTACCATTAAATTTTTCATATACTTCCTCTATAAAGAAGACAGGTAACACATATTTAACACTGAAATATTATTACCTTATGAAGATTTCCTTTGATGGAGTTATATTAAGAAATTAAATATCACATCAAAATATATTATTCCCTAAAACCAAACATATTTAAAAAAATAATTATAATAAAACAAGGAATGTAAGCCTTTACGAAATAAAGGTTTTTTTTTTTTTTAAACTGTATTAACCACAATTGATAGCAGGTAATAATTGTGCACCAAAGATCTTCAATCCTTTATATTATGTGATAAATTCTAGTTAAAGCTGTTCTTAGCATGATTATTTTTCATTTGAACCCACATTTGTTGCTGACATCAAGTAYAAGCTTTCATTTCATGGCTAAATAAAAATAAACATAAACTAAAGTGATCCAATTAGAATATGTAAAAGTAATCAAATTACCTTTTATTCTTTTCTCCCTCAAATACTAAAGACTGAGAACCCAGGGGCACTTTACCATTGAGCTACATCCTCAGTTTTTTTGAATTTTTGATTTTGAGACAGGATCTCACTAAGTTGCTGAAGTTCACCTCAAATTTGTAATCCTGTCTCAGCCTCTGAAATAGTTGAGATTACAGGTGTGAGCCACTGCACCTAGCTGTAATTATCTTTTGAAGACTAAACCTGAAAGACTCAAGCCAAATTCAACAAAAACAAGTGTAATCCATGTAGGTCTGCCTTGAACACTAACATAGGACAAGTCAACATATTGCCATGCCTTTTGTACTACTTCTTACCATGCTGGCATGTTGCCATCAACAGAAATATAAAACCAGGGAAACCACTTCTTTGACCTGTATTAAAGATTAAAGTTCAGGTGCATTCTTAGTTTTTGTCATGGTATTAAACATTAGTGTTTCTCAGGTCTGAGAAAGCTAAGAAGTCATACGGGTTTGGAAGAGATCTAACTTTTGATATGAATAAGACTGAGAAAACTCAGTTTTCTAAAATGTATAGCRAGACACTCTTTAATATGTATTAAAAACAAAACATTTCTTATTGTATTCCAGAAGCTATTTAGACATTTGTTTTAAGCATTTGGCTATCAAATCAATATTCCTTGACTATCATTATAAAATGGATTTGTAAGTACTTTATTCACTTGGATTAATAATTCATTTTTAAAGCTAAACAAACATCCCATCCTCCAGAATACTAGATAAACAACTTCGAGGACTTGTATAAAATTTAAGAACGGCTATTTTTTTTTTTTTTTTTTTTGGTACTGGGGATTGGATTCAGGGTACTCAGCTGATGAACCACATCCCCAGCCCTGTTTTGTATTTTATTTAGAGACAGGGTCTCACTGAGTTGCTTAGTGCCTTGCTGTTGCTGAGGCTGACTTTGAACTTATGATTCTCCSGTCTCAGCCTCCCGAACCGATGGGATTACAGGTGGCCCACCATRCCCAGTAGAAGAGCTAATTCTTATGGAGTGAAATCTATTTTCCTCTAATGGGTCTATCGTCACCTATCATTTTCATAACATCATGGCTTATTAAATGATTCTCCAAGTATAACAAAAGCACACCATTTAAAGGTTAGATGAGAGGTAAAAGACAATCTCTTATTAATCAATTCTCTCAAATGATGCTTTCTCCCCTTCATAACCTATCTGCTAACTCTGGTTGCCCAGTTTATTTCTGAAAACCTATAGTGACCATCAAGTGTCTTCTAAGGTGATTATCTCTTGGGATAAAATGGTTCTGGGTTCAATTTCTGGCTCTTTCTATTATTGACTAAATCACTTTAACTTGGGCAAGTTAATCACTCTTAAAGTTTTTATCATCTATAAGTGCACAAAAATGAACACTTATTTCATACAACCACCTAGGGAATGTATATGACCATATTTATACAGCTTGGGCACAGGACAGTGCTAATAAGGGTTGTCTCTCGTTCAAAGAATTTGCTCTATATTTGTACAACTGTAACAATATAAAATTCTTTCTTGGACAGAACTACAATGTCTCTTTAGTCTGATTATTGGTCCTCTTGGGGAGTTAGGAGACAAGACAAATCCTTCAGTTGCCTTTCAAACATTATAACATAGGTGCTGTGTTCCACTAACTGGCTCTCACACCACCATAAGGTCTAGMTAAGACAGTAAAACCCCATCGTTGAAAGGAGCCTAGCAAAGGGCGAACAAAAGAAGACAAATGTTCCTGGGTTAGTCTGTGGTAGGTGCTGCAAAGATATAAATTGTTGGTTATAAAACCTCTTGGGGGYTCTCTGCATAGACTGCTGACTCCTACTAAATGTTCTATGCACTTAGAAAGCTCTGCCTTTTCATGGGTGCTTTAAACCTTAACCCTTCCTCAAATGAAATACCATGGTTTTGTTTTGTTTTGTTTTTTTAAATTCTCCTCATTACCAAACAAGGGCATTAACGGTCAGAACAATTAAGTGACTGGTTAATCATCCAGTAAGTAGCTGATCCAAAACCAAATCATGATCTTCTGAATTTTAGTCTTTCCTATTAAATTGCCACAGACAATAATAAAAATGGATTTGAAAACATTTGATAGATCACACATGTTTGGAGAACTTTGAGAATTTTAGATTACTTTTCATACTCTAAAATTTTGTCTCTGCTATTTTAAGTCTCTTGTTTTTATTAGMAAGGCCACAAAGTACAGTAGTTACAAGAACAACTTCTGAATTCCTGACACTTCAATCACCAACGAATGATTTTGGTCAGTTTACTTTTCCATTCTGGGACTCGATTTCTTTAGCTGTAAAAATGGCATAATAGTATCTACCCATAAACCTAT